TGACAATAAATGCAATACCATTCTTCTTGATTGTGTCATTCCCAGCATAGCAAATGATACCATATAATTTTTTTAATTCAAAATGGCTAATACCAAGCATTTCAGCACATCAACGCCTATGATGTGTTCTATTTTATTTTTGATGACTTCCAATTTTCCTACAGTCACATTTAGTTTAGTTCATTTCAAATTTCGATTAATAGTAGATTCCTGCAACTGTCTCTTCTCATCTTGAGTTGTACCCCATCAGCAAATACAGATCCCTAAGGCTCCACTCCCCAAGCCTTTATTCCTCAGTTACATTTTGAGCACCTTCTGATTTTGGGGGCCCAGCGTTTAGCACATCTCTGAAAAGGTTCTGCTTCCTTTCATTAGATCTTTAGTATCTGACAATATTTCCATGCTACACATCAGTTTTTCATCCAAAAATTTATAAACAGTTTTTCATGTCACTTTTTGCAGTCCCCACAAAGTAACATCACTTATTTCACTTCATCCCTTTTTGTTTGTTCGCTTCCATTCCTCCCATTTTCCTAACTGTTCCTGCCTTCTGAACTTTTCCCTTGAGAAAATTCTGCCATTTTCCTCTTGAAGAGTTGCTTGTTCATAGGACAGTATACCTCCCTTTTATTATTGTACATTTTGTAGACCGAACTGTTGTTTGGCTGAAAATTAAGTCATGCAATTGAGCTGCTTCACACACTTGAAAGAGGACTAAGGACCATAGTTCACCATTATCTATCTGACCAGTAAGCCTAGTTTTCTTTATGTTTTATGAGTTTTGTTCCACATCCCCCTGCCTCCCCCCTCCCCCCCCACTCTACAAGACATGCTAATGTAATCCCTTTCAGAATATAGCTAGTGATTGTGAATATTTCTTGGCTACCTCCATGTCTTCCTTGGTGAACTGTCTGTGCATGTTCTCCACTCAGTTTTAAATTGGATTTAAAAAATTTTTCTTGTTGATGTGTTGTAGATTTCCTATATATTTTTGAGATTAATCTGTTTTCTGATATATTGTTGCCCCAATTCATTTCTCAGTGTATGGGTTATCTTTTAATTCCTTTGATAAAGTCTTTAAATACACATATGCAGCTGATTTTCAGGAGGGTTTTCAGGCTGAGTCTTCTATTTTGTCTTCCTTTGTATTTGTTATGTTTGTCTCTATTTTTTCATTGATGAATTTTATAACTTTGGTGTTTATTTTTAGATTTTTAATTCATCTTGAGTTCATATTTGTATATAGAATGAGGTATGGATTCTGCTTTCATCTTCTACAAGTGTAAATTCAATTTTGCTAGCACTATTTGTGGAAGACATTTTATCTGACCTTGATTTAATATATCTGAGCGCTTTGTCTAAATAAGTGTCTGTAGGTGGAGAGGTTTATTTCTGGGTGCTCTATTCTGGTTCATTACTCTATGTATCTTCTGTTGGGTCAGTACCTAGCTGTTTTGATTATGGTGGCCTAGTAGCAGGTTTTGAGGTCAAAAAATGAAAAGCCTTCTACTGTGTTTTTTTTCTTTTTTGTGTGTGGTGTTTTGTTTAACATGGGCCTCTTTCCTTTACATATAAAGTTGAGGATGAGTTTTTCCAACAATTTAAAGAATGTTTCTGGGATTTGGATTGAAATTGCTTTATATTAATAGATAGCTGCATAGTATGGACATTTTCACAATATTTCTATTCCCGTATATGAATCTCCATTTGTGTAGGTCTCTCTCATTTCTGGAG